ATCCCTTCCATCTAACGATGGGGCCACGTAGGGACATCCGAGCGCAGTGGTGTAGTGGTTAAATGCCAGGGACTTAGGATCCACTCAGGCTTGCATCTTTCTGAGGTTGCTAAAATGAGGACCCAGCTTTTGGGGGGAAATTGGCTCACACACTGTAAACTGCTTAGGGAGTGCTTAAGTGTACTGATAAGCAGTATATAAATGTACTTGCTATTGCTATTACCCACATATCTGCAAACTGAACTTCACAACCATAATTTGTAGAAATTTGCTCTTTTAGAAGAGAGAAAGGAGTCTCTCAAGAAGTGAAATCACCACTACAAAATTCTGCACTTTTTTTTTTACAACGTGCAAAACAATCATTCCTAAAGAATTAACTGTATACATAGCCATATGTGGATGCTTTCATTGATAAAATATTTATTGAAAAGAACATTCCGAGGCTGCCACAAAGTTGGGATAGGGATCACACTGTTGCTGTTGCCATTTTGTTGCTATCACATGCCTTCAAGTTGTTTCCAACTTATGATGACCCTAAAACAAACATTATGGAGTTTTCTTGGCAAGATTCTTCAGAGATGGTTTGCCATTGCTATCCTCTGAGGCTGAGAGTGTGATATACCCAAGACATCCAGTTGGTTTCCATGACCAAGCAGGGATTCAAACCCTGATCTCCAGAGTCATAATCCAACACTCACACCACTACACCATACTGGCCTTCATGTTGTGTGCTTTCAAATCAACTCTGACTTCTGCAACCTTATTATATGATTTTCTTGGCCAGATTTCTTCAGAAACAGTTTGACCCTGTCTTCCCCTTAGGCTAAGAGAGTTGTGACTTGCCTAAAGCTACCAACAAGGCTTCTGTGGCTCAGTGTGGATTCAAACACTGGTATCCCAGAATCCTAGTCCAAATCTCAAACCATACACCATGCTGGCTCTCTACATATAAGAACAGATTGCTTACCTCTAACTGGTTCTTCAAGTGATCATCTGTGCCCTTACACAAATGGGTTTTGCACCTGTCCAGAGATTCCATTAAGAATGTTCTGGAGTTGAGCAGCTTGATGGGAATAACTCGCTCCTCCCACCTACCACACATGCCCTAGCCTGCCAAGCTACTCTGCCGTGAAATATAGGGACTTAAAGAGAGGAGGTAGGGTGGATTTGTGTGAGGGCACAGAGGACCCACTTGAAGAACCAGAGTTACAGGTAAGCAACCTCTTCTTCTTTATGGTCTCTGTACCTCACACAAGTGGTAGACTGTGAAGCTTAAAACAGAATGGTGGGCCAAGTCACTGAAGAATTATAGAGAGCACAGCATGTCCAAAACTGGCATCTGCTCTGGATCTGCAGTCCAGCCTATAATGCTGAATGAATATGTAGGACTGTGATCATGAAGTAGCTTTGCATAAGTCAGATAAGGGAGTGCCATGCAGAAGAGCCATCGAAGAAACCACTTCAATAAAGGAATGGTAAACTTTCAAGAACTGGTCAATTGACTAATTCATAGCCTAGCCAGATAGTTTGGAAAAGAAGGCAATCAAAATGGGCATTAGAAAGGGAAAGTTTCCTGGAAGGGTATGACAACATGTATGGGTGGCATGGGTACTTAATTTATGAAAAAATTAAAGTGCATAAAGATTTTAATGATCATTATTTGAGAAGGTCTTTATTAAGAATATGGCAGAGGATTAAAAGCAAATGGAATGATAATATACCTAAGTGGACTTCTATAAATGAAGCGTTTGTCAGAAATGATAAATTCGTTAGAGATAATTGGGTAACATATAATGATATCCTATTGGGAAAAGGAAAAAATATGAAGATAAAAATGAGAGTACAATTAACGGAAGAGGGATGTGTTTGCAATTGGTTTACGTATGGACAAATAAGAGAAAGATTCTTAATGGATATGAAAGCAAGGAAAATAGGCACTATGAATAAAGAATTTGAAGAAATAATTGCTATAAAGGATAAACGTAGAATATCAATTTTTTATAAAATGTTATTAAAAATGGAAATGGAAATGGAGGTAGTAAAAACACACATGGTTAAATGGGCGCAGAATATAGGACAAAATATAGAAATGGCCCAATGGGAAAAGTATTGGAAGAAAAGATTAAAATATACTTTAAATTATGAGATTAGAGAAAATTTCTACAAAATGCAGCACCGTTGGTACCTCACACCCCTCAAATTGAAAAAATGAGAAGAGACAAAAATGATTGGTGTTGGAAATATCAAAAGGATGCTGGCACCTTCTACCATATGTGGTGGACGTACCTGGAAGCTAAAAAATATTGGAACAATATAAATAAAGAAATACGTAAATTTTTTGGAATTGAAATATTACTCCACCCCAAACTGTATTTATTGGGTATAATAGAAGAAGAATTGGAGAAAAACTTTGGGAAATTGTTGCTTTACTTGATAATAACAGCGAGAATAAACTATGCCGCAAAATGGAAATCCAGAGAAAGTCCTTCAACTAACGACTGGCAGAAAAAATTATATGATATAATGGGAAACGATAAACTTTCCAGTTTTAATAAAAGGCAGAAAAATGAGTGAATATAAAAAAGAATGGGAACCTTTATTGAATTATTGGCAACAAGAAAATAAGGGAAACTTTGTGCTGGATTTGGATTAAAAGAAATTAGAGACCTCGAATCAAATGACAAAATATGGTGAACAATATAGATAGATGATAGTATATACATAAGTATGACAACAACTAGAAATACAGTATTAACGAAGTGATATTATAAAGTATAAAATAACAAGACATTGAGAATGATGGAAGTATTGTTGTTGTTTGTTGCTGTTTTTGTTTTTTATTGTTTCTATTTTTTTGTATATTGTATGTTTTTAATTTATAAAATATATTAAAAAAAGGGAAAGTTTCCAACCACAAGTAGGGCACAGCTTAAAGAGGGAAGAAGCCACAGAAATGTAGAAATAGCAAGGAGGAAAATAGAAGAAAGGGGAAAATGGAATTGATAGTACGGTAAAGTGAGAGGTTTTTTTATAGTCAGATATAGATATAGATTTTAGTGGTAGATGAATATAAAGACTATAAAGGATATGAAGGAAGAAAAATTCCATCCAAAATGTTCTAGAGCTGAGTAGCATTGTGGAAATACCCCACCTCATCCCACCTATGTCCTCACCCTCCAAGTTACTTTCCACTCTGTTTGTTTCCATTCATTAGTGAAACAGCTTCATTTTGGTCATTCTCCTGCTGAGTAGTTTCCCTCACTATTTTTCTTTATTTTTTTCTCTGAATACCTGAAAAAGATCCTGAACAAATACTAGAAAAGATCCTAGAATGTGAAGATATACAACTGAACACAAAAGTTAGAATCGTACAAGCCATTGTATTCCCTATTACCATGTATGGATATGAGAGCTGGACAATTAAGAAACTGGACAGAAAGAAAATCAATTCATTTGAAATGTGGTCCTGGAGAAGATTGCTGAGGATACCATGGACAGCCAAGAAGTCAAACAAATAGGAGCTAGAACAGATGAAATCAGAAATTTCTCTGGGAACCAAGATGACTAGACTAAAGCTGCTGTACTTTAGCCAAATAATGAGAAGGCACGACTCATTGGAGAAGACAATAATGCTAGGAAAAGTGGAAGGAGGCAGAAAGAGAGGAATACCACATGCTAGATGGATGGACTCTATAAAAGAGTCACAGGTATGAATTTGCAGGAACTGAGCAGAGCAGTGGAGGACAGGGAATCTTGGAGATGTCTCATCTACAGGGTCGTCATAGGTCAAGATCAACTCAAGGGTGGATAACAACAACGTGGTTTCCCAAAATGGAGTTTTAAATAGAGATTGGATTAATTCATGGAGGTTGGAGCTATCAATGGCTACTAGTCAGGATGGCTATAAATCACCTTCAGTACCATAAATGTCATGCCTCTGTTCTAATTCTCCTCCTGTGCATGGGGGTTGGAGTGGGTGCTGCTATGGTCCCTTCAGGAGGGAAAACCATGTTAGTCAAGGCTCAAGGAGCTTCCTCCAAGTAGGTAAAATTTTCTAGCTTTTTCACTAGGAAATGGAAGATGGAAGATGCTGCTGCTCCCTATATTCTGCTAGTGGGCTTTGCAGAGACAACAGGTCAATCACTGTGAAAAACAGGATGCTTAGGGAAGCCTTTGGTTTCATCCAGCAAGGCATCTCTTATATTAAGAAAGCAACATGTTTCATCTGAACCAGCATATTCCCAAAACTCACAGCTTATTCATTAAGCAGAGGCTTTCATTCAGTGCCTCCTCTCCCAGTGTCAACACCAAGAGGTCAGGCTTTATCCTCTATGTTGGCCAGACAGATAGCAATGCCAGCTTTAGCAGCAGCAAAAGCAACTGCTGGGATGTGAGCCAGGTAGGCAAAAACATTAAAAGCTGCAAGTATTCCAGTACCCATGGGAGCCCTTCCACCGGACATACTCTCTTTTAATTACTTGGCCGAGGCCAAGCGATTAAAGTTCTGTTCTGAGGTGGCTCCAGCAGCCGGGGGCAGCCTGTTAACTTGACTCGAGATAAGCAGCTCAGCGGTGAAGCTATTTCATCTCCCTCTTGACAAATGCTGGGCTCCTACAAACAGACTGAATGAGCTACCTAGCAGCTCCCTGTGCATGGAAGATGATAAGAGTCACATGGTTCATGGCAAAGGAGGAAGCTGAGGTGAAATTCCTTTTCACATCATATCCATTGCTTGAAGGGAAGTGTGTCACTGTGTGCAAGGCTAGAAAATGCCTGTTTTCTTTTTCAGTAGGCATTCAGCCTACTTACTAGGGTAGAAGAATGGGCAGTGGATGTGCTGCTGTTTTTTTTTTTTAAAAAAAAAACACCATAATATGTATTTGCTGTGTTAATTGTTTTTAAATTAATGTTTCAATTGGATTGATTGTTTAATGCTTTTAAAAACTTTTGTACCATATAAAATGGGGCCCCTGTATCCGCTGGACTTTGGTTCTATGGCCCTCATCTGGGACAGCTGCTCTATTGTTTGAAGCATCTGAATGTCCTTCTCCACTGTCCTGAGACTATGAGACTGAATGAAAACCTGTAAGATCTTTCAAATGAGATCAATGGCATAATCCGGTCTCACAGTCCTGCCCACCCAAATATCAGAGAATATTCTCTCCCAGTGATGGGCAAAATGAAGCAGGTGACCCCCCACTGTGACCTGCTCCAAGTCAAAATGACTGACTGGACTTTCCCCTATGCTTACTGGCAGGGGTGGAACTATCCCTATTTAATCCTGAAGCTTGCTGCTGTCTGGTGTGCTGCTTTGGAATACTCCAGTTTTGTCTAAAGTCTGTAATTCATGTGACAAAACTGAGACTTGTATCTACAAAAGGACTGAATTCAAGACCAAAAGGACTTATTTTCCTCTTTCTTGGACAATGACAGTAAACACTTTCTTTTTGTCCTCAAATAATTGGATCCCTTAAATGAACAGTTAATCAAATTAGTCTTGCACTTATTACTTGTGGTACAACGTTTTGACCAGAGTGGACACCTGGCAGTGACATCAACTGCTATACCTCATGAAGAGAATTGAACCAAATCAAGATTAGTGTCAGCCATAACACAACCACCATAGACAATGCATTGAACTCCTGTTGGGAGTTTGGTCTCTTCCTTGGGCACCAGAAAAATCAAGTCCTTAGACCAGGGGTAGGCAACCTAAGGACC